CCTAAGAAGTAAATTTGGCGTGGTCGTCGTGCCCAAGGTTCCACGTCATGCAGTCTGTTCAAAACAGTTTGATCAGACACATGATGTCCTAGTAGCAATGCCTGTGCAGTTGAGGAAGCTGCCGTAAAACATGTCTCTGAGGTGACCAAGCCGAATAGAGCGATTCTCTGCTGCTGCTGTCACTTTTGGTCACATCCACCCCCGGCTTTGTCCTGAGAAAGCGATACAAGGGTAGCAGGTGGTCTCATGACAAATTTTGACTCATGCAACTTTAGTATGTGGGTCGTATTCCAGACAAAGGTCGCTCACTCAAAAACATATGTTTGTGCCAAAACAGGATGTATACCAAGTTGAATGCATACCAAAGCGAACGTATACCAAGGTATCATTGCACTTGGTCAGAACATTTAAAAAAATCTACCCTCCCCAGAGACTCACTACCATTATGTATATTGCCAATTTGAGTGTAATTAATTCATCATGGTGTTTTTTTTTCTTCTTCACTTAACGTATCTTGCGTTAAACCTACTGGTACGGGAAAGAGTTCAGAAACATGGGATATATATATATATATATATATATATATATATATATATATATATATATATATATATACACACACACACACACACACACACACACACACCAGGTCCATATTTGTATAGATCCTAATAGAATTGGCACTCGCTGGATGATGTGTTCAAAATCCCACCGACCACTTAACTTCTTAGGAAATTTATGGGCACTTTTTTGGGCTCAGCGTAGAAATCCCCGTCGGTTTCAAAAATGTGCCGTGATGCTCATGCGAACCAATGATCACTGGAATAGTTGCGTATCCTTCACAGAATCTTGAAGAACCAACCCTAGCAGGTTTTTTTTTTGGGGGGGGGGGGGAAGGGGGGAGGTGTGGGTGTTTGTGATTTTACTAGGCAATTTTACTTTCAGTAGTTTGCCATTGCTTACTAAACGATTTGCTCTAAACTGTCAAAACCAACGCATGACGGTCTGCCGCCATTTGCCTGCAGCTGGGATTAAACTTGGCATCTAGGCATTATGAACCACTTTCGCCGTTTGTATACACGTCAGCAGTAATAAATACAAAATTTACACCACATAAATATGGGTCAGAAGCACCCATTTTTTAGCGGGGAAAATAATAGACCCACTATTCCTTAACTGACAAGCAGGTACTGAAAATAAAATTTAAAAAATATTTTCTTTTTTAAAATGAAAGCAATATGTTGAGTCGAAGGGCGCGGATATCACAATCTAGTTGTGCCAAGCAACGGTTCAGGTCTACACACAGGAATAAGAAAAAGAATTGACACCACATTACGTAACTATAAATGGTTCCCAGAGCGTGTAAATTGTTCCCGGAAATTGTTTCCCAAACTCGTTTAGCGGCTGGTTTGTTTTGAAGCTGGCAATTTTAGTTGAGCAGAACTGGAAACGTTTCGTTTGTAATGAACTCACAGGAGTTTGAAGAACAGACAGGAGCTGCCAGGTGATCAAGCAGTTTCTGGGTTAAACAGCATGGGATCTGGACCAGTGCTGTCACCGTCTATGCAGATACTGAACAAAAAGGTAGGAATGTATCGGTGCAAGTGCACCGGAACGTTAATATTTTCGATAATATTGTTATCCTTTTAGATCAGTAGTCTCCAACCCGGAGACAGCCGCCCCCTAGGCTGGCTTGAGGAAGTACCCGTGGTGTGGGGGTTACAAGCAATTTTAGAATATGAGTTCACTTCTACTTGTAATAATCCATTTTAATTTAAATTTTTTTTACAAAATGTAATTTAAAAATATACAAAAATATTTTTTCAAGACTAATTATAAAACAAAAAGACCATTACATTTTTGTTTTCACGAGCGGGTTGCATATCTAATGCTAAAAATCGAATTTAGTATGATAACACCTGCATTTAATTCTAGATTAAGAACACATTCCTCTTTTTGTGTGTTATGTTTGGGAGCGTAGGGTCATGCCATATTCTCAAGGGGGTCGTGGGAATCTTGCCAGTCTTAACGGGGAAAGGGGGATATGGAGAGGGAAGAAGAGGCGGGGTGGGTGGGGGGGGGGGATTGCCAGATATTTAAAGGGGCACCTGAAAAAGGTTTAGTGACTACTGTTCTAGATCTGTTTCAGATACTCACTGTTTCATAAACTTGGGCACAGTGCGTGAGCAACAGGGAGGCGGGGCGGCTTTTGCATCTTTAGGACCCCTTCTCTAAAGTTGTAAAGGGGTTGGGTGCAATGGGCTCCCCGAACTCCTGAAAGCCATGTATAGTTCTCCCTTTTTCTTTCTTTCTTTCTTTCAAATTAAAGATTGTTAACATACTTTTATTGCTTCAAAAATACCTGAATATTTTTTGCAATTCCACATGTTATCACCATCATCGTCATTTTCATAATCATCCTTATTATGATCACCATTAACACTATCATTATTATCATCATCACATTTATCATCACCATCATCATCATAATCATCCCCACCACCATCATCATCATAATCACCCCCATCATTATCATCCAAACGTCATTTTCTTCTTAGCGCTGGAGGAAATGAACAAGCTTGGGTTCCTTCAGCGTCTCCCCCCTCCCCCACTTATATAATGTGTCAGTGAATGAGGGCGACTCTTTCCATGGAAACCGTGACAGAGGCATAAACTAGCCATCTACCTAGAACATGTGTAAGAGGAATTGCAAACCTGTCAAAAGTATCTAGGGTATGACTATACTTCAGTCACATACACAAGAGATGCTTCAGACGAAAATTTACAACTGGGTTCCTAAAGGAGAGTACAGTCCAACTGGAGCACTACAAGAAGTAAGATACAAGCGACACTAGCGAAAAGCACAATTACTGGTACAACTCACAAATCTCACCTCATCTCGTTCGGCTGCATGATTTTAGGCTGCGCAGTTTCGTCTGGGAGACAGTATCTCGACCGTATCAAACAAACGCAAGCCAGATTTCGGCTCGGTGTTTATAGACGAGGAATGAGGGCATCTTATAACACCCCTAGATTATAGGGCAGCCAGTGGGAACGGCCTCGAAATCTCGCTCCCGAATGAGACTGGGCGACTTTCGTGATTAGTACCCAAAAATGTATCAAACTGCAACGGGTTCTCCACCAGCGGTCAACTTTGAAATACTCGTGACGGCCACAGTTACCCGTTAATTTTTTTCAAGCAATACATATTCCACAAACTTTAATTAGGGTACTGGGTAGTTTGCACAAACGCAGCGGTTCTCAACCTGTGGGTTGGGACCCTTTTTTTGTGTCAAACGACCCTTTCACATCGTTCATCAACGACCATCGGAAAACACTTACTCATTGATGTGATGAAGTAGCAACGAAAATACTTGTACAGATGGGAGTCGCCACAACGTGAGGCACTATATTAAAAGGCCACGGCGTTGGAAAGGTTGATAACCACTGCCAAAGCCTGTCTGTCACTGAACTCATTAAATATTCATGTGCACTCACGCTCCACCTGACCTCTGGCATACTTAGTACACAACACTGCCACGCTGCCTTTTACCCATATATACAGTGCTATCCCCATATTTTGTTGAAGACAAAGCAAGACTCATTGCTCTTGTGATCAATATCATTACGCTATTTTTACTTAGCATGAAATTCGTCGGTACACATTCTAGTCTCTGTCGAACTGGGAGTCAAAGTCAATTGGGTAGGGGAGGAGGAAAGGGTAAAGAATCTTTGTCTCTGTGGGGATTCGAACCCAAGACATTCAAAGCCAGGCTGACAAACCACTGCTCTAATGCAGCTCTTGCCCCAACAAATTTAACTGTATTTTTAAAAAAATGTTTTATTAAAAACAGTGGGTTTTTTTTCTCCACTGCTTGT